TCAGACAGTGTGAATATGGTTTAAGTAAAGGAAAAGAACCCTCAGTCTGGAAGCTAAGAAAAAACGCATGAAGTTATTGATCTATTCACTCATCGGCTGTCTTGCAGGGATACTAGTCTGGTGTATATCAATTTAGCTGTGATCTGAAGGAGACCGCGCATGTTCACTTTTAAAAGTTTACGCGATTGCCAGCGAAACATCTATTGTCATATATTGAAGTGGCGATGTATGCCCGTACCCGTCGACGTTTTCATCAACGCCATAATATCCGATATGTCCATAGTCCCTCTGTCTCTTTGTTCTCCTGCCTTGGCGGAAGTGTCGGGTTTGAAATACAGGCAGTTAATTTATATATTTGTATCGTATATTTGCCAGGTTACAAGAAGTGCCCTTGATGATCCTATCGGTGTCTAGTTTATTTTCCCGGTTCACAATCAATATAAATCTGCAAACGTGTAGAATGTGCCAGGGTGAAAATACAACACGAGGCACAATAAGTTGCTGCCGTTCATTTCGAGAGTTCTGCGGAAGAGGAGCAGAAATAGAAAGTTTTAGAAAGCTGGCTTTACGTATTCAAGTCGTGAAAGACGTCTGCTGTAATATGGTATGCCAGCTAGTCTTCTTTTAAAAAAGGAAAATGCTTTCAGCCATCACAGTATCGCTTGTTGAGAGTTCCATATTCGTACTACTCGTAAGCCGATGAAGACCCTCCTGAGGTCCAGTCGTATGCGTTTGCGACTGACCTTCTACGGACAACCGCGAAGGTATGCTGCTCAAGCAAACTCTAAAACGTCACCCGCTCTCAGTTAGTTAAAATGGCTACAGATAATCCGGAATATCCAGAGCAGGCTATACCTTAGAGGCTTGTGCTTTATATAAATAATACTTAATTTTACATTTAAGACCCAGGCGGCTTAGAAATAACAAACTTAATACTGTAGTAAAATGTATACAATAACTGTTCTGTGTAAGCAGTCTCCTTCAATACCACATGGAGGTTTGCTGCCTGTGCGAAATCCGAATCTCCAACGCAGGCGCCCGAGACATAAAAATTCCGGATTGCTTACGTTTGACTAAAGGGTCTCTCTACGAACATCTCGATCGTCTCTATGTATGCACCAACATCAGTTACCGAACAGCAAAATAAGGGAAATATTTGCTCACAGATACAAGAGCTAATTGAAGGACTCACTCGCCGTAATCTGTTGATCGTTGGCGGGGAATGGAATGGCCGGACTGGGTCCGGTGAGAGGAGGCTGCGATTTGCTGAACAGAACCTACTGTGAGTTACCGACATATACTTTCATCAGCGTGACAAACATCTGGTGAAATGGTACTCAAACGGCGATCGTACCGCCAGTTAGATCGATTACCTTCTAGTTGGTTCATGGTTTTGCAGTTGGATCCACGATAAAAGGTCGCTGCGAAGCGCCGAAACTGAAAACGCCCACGGGTCTGACCATGTTCTCATTCGCACATGCCTGAAGGCTCACCTCTCATCTGTGTCAAAAATGTCACACGCGAGATGCCTTCATGCCACAAAACGCCGGAAACCCAAAACAAACGAGGCCCTAAGCACAGAGATTCGGTCTCGTCTTATAACTCAAGCCGAAGAAGTAGTGAGTGGTGATCATTGAAGACATCGGTCTTGGGGAAGCTGAGAAAATTCTTGGATCCACTCCACGGCACAGCAGTGACTGGATCAGAGAAATAACCCTGCAGCTATCAGTCCAATCGGCTGAAGCCAGATCCCGCAACGAGGCTTCCTTCCGCCAACTCCGAAAGCAGGCAGCAAAGTCGGCTACGGATGACCGGTAGAAGTATTGGTCCGAAACAGCGAAATCCATGGAGCAAACCT